AGATACTAAGACAGCACTGCTGCTACCCCAGCAAAAAAAATTAGCATCTCACTCACGTGAGTGCGAAAGATCTTATTTTACACCATGATAAAACGTGTACTGCTTTCTGAAGCCCTTAGAATCAAGGCTTCTTGATGGGCAGTACTAAACTTAAGGGAGCATAAGCTTTAGGATTTTAGACGTGTGAGTTCAAAGTTCAGTTCTGTAGTTATACAGGAGCATTTCAAAGACTAAAAATGTCTGGAACTCAGTAGAGCGGCCCAGAGTAAAGAGTACAGCAGTTTCAAGCACCCTGTCACAGTGTATGTCTGTTACTCAGAAACTCAAAAGTCTCCTAAGACTTGTGAGCTAACTCGGCTGGTCCTTTAGCTTAACTATAAACAACGTACCAGTTACTCCAGAGAAGACAGAAGGGTGTGTATTTTGGCTTCTGGATAGACTTGCATAACAGCAAACATTACACTCAGTCTGTATAAACAGCTACTGTGGCTGCAGGAAAAAAAATAATTATTATGACATTAGGGCAGGGGAGTAGTGTGTTTGGCCTGGATCTTGGTACAAGAAAAGGTACAAGAAGGAAGCAGAGGAAGTAAGACAATGACAGACAGACCTCTCATCACAGGGAAGATTGTAGTGAACTGACCTGGAATACTAGCATACTTCCAGAGGAAGTTGCATGCAAGAGGTTTTAAGGTTTGATTGTTAGTGCCAACCTTTCCACTCTCACTCTCTCTGGGCAATGCTACATTTCAGTTTCTCTTCTTTCATTAACTGTGCAAAGCTGAACAAGCAATACAGGACAGAAGACTTTCCTAAGGCATAAAGTGATAAGCTGGGTGAGATTGGCTGGTTTAACTGTAGAAGTAACAGAAATGCCAACTTGATGAAGAATTTTTCTGTTCTCAACAAATCATCTTCTTCCAATTTTCTGATAAGCAAATGCATTTAGTCAGTGGTCAGAACAAAAGTACCAGCAACCTCAGTGAAAGCATTTTGCCTGTCTTGGTCTGATTCAGACCTAATAATCCTTCACTATTGCAGAACATTTAGTGTCTCCTGTTCTTTTATTAATACCTTCTTTATGCATAAATTCTCATTTAAAAAAAAAAAAAAAAAGGTAGACAGCACTAAATACATGCAGTGGAGAAGCTTTAGAGCTCTTTTCAAAGTACAGGTAAAATACCAACAAAATAAGAAAATTAGCAGTTTTCTTCATTAGATGTCACCAGGCAAGAGTGCATAAGAGTTCAGTTCTTCAAATCTTATTGAAATCACTGTAGCCTTCTCTAGAATCACATTCATTTGCACTAGTAGAGGTTTTGGCTCCAAAGCAAAAACCGAATGTTTCACTGTCATGGAAAACAAAACCCCCCGCAAGATCCTCACTACCACAACACATCCAGGTATGAAAATGGAGGAGCCACTAAGTGATACAATATTTGAAGTCGTCTCACCATGAACATTTAAAAATCGACATGAGATTTCAAAGGGAAGTCAAGACCTTGGCATTTCACCTGGCCCACTGAAAAAGGGTAAGGTACATTTCTTCGGATTCAATTCTTGTTCAAACAAATGCAAGAACAAATTGCAGTTTTGCCTTTTGGCTTTAAACTAAGCTCTGAGTGCCTTTCCCCCCTTCCTTCTGTGCTTCCGAAGAAGCAAAAACCAGAAACTAAACAGCACACACACAAGCTGAAAGACACCACCCTTCATACCAACACCATGCACTGAAAATGCAGATCAAACTGTAAGATGCAATTTCCTCCATTCTTACCACTGTTGCTGAGCATCTCACACACATCAGTATGCAATCAACATAATACAGAAAAAAAAAAAAAGATACAATGGCCCTTAGTATTAACGCATCTTACATGTCTTTTGGCCTCAGTATTTTTTTCCAGATCCTTCCTGCAAATACTGACACACTCCTTCCCTCACTCCTGTCTCCAGTGGCACAGGTCTCCTGGCTCACCAGCGATCCCGCCCTCCAGCCCAGGGCAGGACAGAGCTCAGCTGACACGTTTCCTCCCCTTGTCACTTGCAGAACTCCAGCTGCTTCACAGCTCCCTCTGCTGTCAAAGAACAGAATCAAAGCAGAAACGAGAACATGGACTAAGATCACTTTACACTTTACACTCCCGCAGCTCAAATAACCTACAACGAAGAGAAACAGGTAACGGAGCCCTGATCCATATCAGGGGCAAATCTCCTTGCCTTCCACAGAACCAGTCTCGAAACTGATCTCTTGGCTGCCTGAGGTGCAAAACAGCCCTGAAATCACAGAAGGTCGCTGTTCCTCAGGAACGGCCCCATACCAGACGACAAACCTTGCAGGGCTGGGCTTTTGAGGTAGCTGTTGTTTTTCTCAGCAAAACTCCCACACGGGCCCTCAGCCAGTGACAGTTTAATACATGGAATCGCTTATTAGAAAAATAATAGTATGCTTATTAAAAAAGAAATAACATTAGGGATTCGACTGTTGGAGTTGGAAGAAAACTGTTACAGGCAGGTTCAGCACGGTTCCATCAGCAATGACTGCACTGTCACCTACATGTTTGCTTGAGGGAAACTCGTTTTATTTGCTCGCTAAGGTCTTTTGTCAGTTTGCGAGCGGGCTTGTTGCGCTGCCCTGCTGCTGACACGGGAGCGTCGAGGCAGCTGGGAAAACAGAAAATCAGTTTGATGGATCTGATGTCACCATCAGCGCCCAGAAAATCAAACTCAGAACTCTTTAAGTTGGTGCCGCGCTGTGCCTTTCCACATCGGACTCTGCAAAACCCTTCTCATGACTCTGAATTCTCAGCTTATTAGGAAAGAGAACAACTTTACGAAGAAGGTGTAAGCACGTGCCTTCTCAAACCCACGGGAAACATTCCCGCCGCACAGCCCCGCAGGCTGGCCGGGTTCTAAAAAGCGTGACAAGTGAAACAGCAGCAGTGCCGCACCCAGGCGAGCAGTCCCACTCGGTTCGGAAGACACCTCAACAAAACACATCCCCCAGCCATGCCCGGCCCTGCTCACGCTCTTCTCTTACTCGCACGACTCAGGCAGCGGCAGGGACGGGTGACGGGGCACCAGGACGCAGCACCGCTCTGTGGCCGCGGGGCCCGCAGCGGCTGCGGGAGCACCCACGGGCT